TTGCTAGTAGGTTGGAGACCATCGCTCTTAGGATGGAGGCCATCGCTGTTAAGCTCTATAGACTCTATCTGTCTTGCCTGGAGTAGTTTGGCTCTGCTCCTCGCTCCATGAGCTCATAGATCTTTGGTTCCGCCGCATGCGTTGTCCCATAGAACAAGGATGCAAGAAGCCAATAACATGCTGTGTTGTCCAAAATTGTCCAAAGATGCTTTGATGGCTTGTCTGCATTTCTTTTGGCATGTGCAGCTTGCCGCGAGCTGTAGCCCACATCCATGACATGCATGAGGCAAAGGATGAGGAGTCCATTTGGGCTATGGAAAAGTGGACCTGATGGTACAATATAGTGCAATGATGAAAGTCTTCCTCTGGACAAATGTCCACTATCTTAACACCTTGGAGTGGTATCTTTTGTGACATTTAAACAATGCATCAAGCACTGAGAATGTCACACTTCTTGCTACGATTTACAATGGTGCTGTGGATTCCCTCAGGATCCCAAAAATCGGAACCCTATGCCTGGTCGGTCAAGGGCTGACCAATTTGGTGTAGCCGCTTTGCAGCTACGTGAGTGTATGGGAACCCACCTCGCGCAAACCTGCTGGGTTGAATCCCCTGCAGCCTAAGATGCGTGTGTGTTTCATTTACGTGGAAGTGTCATTGAAAACAAACTCCAAACAGGTTGCTTCCAAGTCTTGTAAAGAAGGGACTACGGGCCTCTCAGCCATTTCCATGTTGGTCGCTTTGTGTATCTTCGTCGATCAATTTAGATCTCTGAAAGTGATTCTTCTTTACACCCAGCGGTGACATTCCCCCGTACTGCCCGGTGCTTTACACCCCACAAGACATGTATCCTCCCAACTTCTAAAGAGACCTTAAGGATTGTTGGGAAACATGTTGACAGTTGAGGTTGTTTCAACAATCAATGTCAACAAATATCTTCATGGAAGAGAAAATAGGAAAACACATCCAAGAAATACAGTAGATCTGAGATGATCTGAGAACATAGAATAAAAAATGTTGGACAAGGGTCTGAAAAGCTCTAGGCCTACTTGTTCACGAAGCGCTGATGGAGTCGCCCGTGCAGCGAATTTCAGGCGCCATGGCGGTTCAGCAGCAGCTCGAAATCCTGTCGCATGGCGTCATTGGGTTACTCAAGTGATCAATGGCGATCCAAAAAAAAGCGAAAGGGCTGGACAGCATTAAACATTAGTAGCGTCCCTGCTCCTAGTAGCGATGCCCTTTGTTACTAGTAGCTTCTTGTTCCTAGTAGTAAGGCAGCCCCTAGTAGCGTCCCTGCTCCTAGCATGAGAGCACGGGCGATTCATATAGTCAAGTCCAAAGTCCAAACATAGTCATGAGGCCAACGGGTCTTCTCTCTCAGAAAGCTCGAAGAAGCCTGAGTCTTTGCAACTTGATTCAATCAAACTGCGACCGTCGGCATCCATCATGACTAGATGCACAACTTAACCTACTGCAAAAGCTACTCACCTACTGCGATCCAAAGTCAAAGTCCTCCAAGTCTCGCACGGTGCCTGGTAGAGATGCTGCAAATCGGGACCAAAAATCCGCTTCGCCTCTTCCAAGGTGGTCTCGCGCGATTGCTGCCTAGAGTGGAGAGTCGAGTCTCGGAGTCAGTCGAGTTCACTCCGATGTGCTGTGCGTCATTTGCCGCTCCGACTTGCACCGAGTTACCGATATTCCAGGATGGGTATAACGTTTATCCTGGCTTAGTTTATAATATCATGGTTTAACGTTTAACAAAATCGGTCAACCACCAATGCCCAAATAGGCCCAAACTGTGCTGCCGAAAGTGGATCTGAAGATGCTGAGTCTGCAATCATGCTGGCAATGCTGATTGTTCAGCCGCTTGATGTTGGCCAAGAACTCCTCAGTGTTGGACAACTTGAGTCAACGCTGCTGGCGACCGTTGGGACAAAAGCTTGCAAACCATATCGATGATGGTGAATTGACAACGAAGCCTTTGAACGGCGTCTCATTTACTGAATAGCTTGCATTGCCACACGTGTACAACTATCTCAGCTTCAGTGCTCCCAGTGTCTGGTTGCCAAGCTGCGTTGAACGCTTCATAGGAAAGGCTATTCCGAGCCTCCATGTCCATGTTTGTGCTCATGCAGGTTAGTCATCTGAATGTCTGTATATCTGTGTGTGATGGGCCCATGTGGATACCAAAGTTCCAATAAAGCTTTGAGCCTACTCAGGCCAGTAGGATGAATCTAAGCACAGTGAGGGAATATGAAGGTGCCTCTCAGATTTCTTTAGGGAATCAAAACAATGCTGACCCAACATCATCCAAGCATCTTCGCTCACCATCTTGACGTGGTATGAGTATGGTTGCTTGGGTTTCAAATGTGATATACGACTATATGTCAAGCAGAATTTGCTGACATGTGCTACCTATGCCCGATTCAACTCACCTTGCCTGGCGAAAGAACTGCTTGCCATCAATGGGCGCAGGCGCCGCGGTAGTGGGCTGGCATGGAGGGGCTGGGGCCGTTTGGGGCACGATCCAATAAACCCCAAAGCATGACAGATAGAGCACACACAACATTCTTTGTAGGCAAACCAAGGAAGATTGAAGCAACAAATGCTGCCTTACTGCCTGAAATAACACCAACCCAACAATCGTTTAAGCAGTGTTGTTTTTGTGATAGGAAGTCACAGACCAGCCCCTCCTCATGGCACGCCTTCCCACAAAGAATCGTAAAGCGTCTTTCGAACGAAGTGTTCGGTGTCGCCAAGTGCTTCGGTGTCTACACACTTTGCACCCCTCGTGGTCCTCAGATTGCACTGGAGCACCGGCATCCCAGTTTGGTCTGTACCTGCCCGAAATGAAAGAAACTTGACTATAAACAATGTCAGCATGTTCTCGTGAAATCTGGGTCTGACGTTCTAAACCCGTTAAAATCCGTCCGGTGAAAACTGTCCGTTCAGTTCTGCGGCACGACTCAGGCGTAGCAGGGAGGCCCGAAGGACCTTGGAAGCTTTCAGCTTGGTGTCACATTAGGTACCAAAGGAAAAACTATTGTTGCCTCGGTTAGTTTCTTAAAGCTCATCTCTGGTTTATACAACTCTTGAATCTGTATATATATAATATTATTCTGCTATCTTGAAGACGTCTTCAAACACTCGTAAGTAACCGCGGTCTGGAATGAAGCAAGTGATTTCTGCAATGGCAAAGTGGGACTGGTTGCGGCTTGAGACATAACTGACATAACTTCACTTTTAAGTGAGCCAACGTCTCACATATATATATATATATCCTAGGCACCCTGCGTGCAAATCCAATGTCACCTGTGCAAAGAAACTCAAGCTTCGGTCCGGTACCTAATGCTGTACCAGCCCAACTGTGGACATTATAGCCCTGCATCAAGCTAATTCAGGTCTCATCTCCTACAAAGCTGCAGTTGAACCCCTAGCCCGGCGCCTTGCATTGATTGCACAGTCATGGGCAATGCACCTGCTAGATAGTCGTCTCTCATGTAAAGCTTCGAGTCCTGGCGTTCAAGTCGAACCAGAGAGCAAGAACTCTGCTTACAAGACCTTCAATTGAGCTGGGTCGTCAAACACAGACCCAATGGATCAGAGAATTGAAAGAATTGACAGCTCAAGTGGTGCTCATAGCTGAGTCGTTAATGTGTGCTTCCAAATATGTAGTCAAATTTATAACTTCACAGAAGAACGTGAAAGTGTTCAACAACTCACCTCAGAGTTCTCAACGTACTGCTCGTCCGAGATTGACTCCATGACCTGGGTCAGTAAGATCGTGTCAGGTCATGGAATTCCTTTGAACGCAGTGGCTGACTAGCCAATCACTTTTAAGAAAGTGTTGCAGAAATGTCTCTGCAGGGGGACATGAGCTTTGAGGCAATCACTGGAGTTGCCAAGTCAAACCCACCGAGAAATCTGTTGTTTTCTTCAGAAGTGTGACACCCATGCAGAGAGAGCTTCTGTGGACAACGGACCACAGAATCTTAGAGGAGAAGAGAAGCACAAGCGCAATCCCAAAATCAAGTGCCAGCAGAAAGGGTCCTCGAACTAAACTTGACCGTCTGCCACAAGTTCGCTTGACTCCATGAAGCTTGACAACAACCGAAAAACACAAGACCAATTGACCTCAAAAGTTCTCATATACAGTGTGTATATATATATATATAGAGAGAGAGGGTATAAGTACCATCTTTCACCAGGGAAAGAAGGGAGACGAAGAACTCACCGTAGCTGCAAAGCTGGTGCATTGCCTGTGCTTCCGGACTCGCTTTTTCAGGCCTTCCAAACGTTGCAGCTGCCTGCGCAGCTGCTGTACCTTGAATCGCGCTCTCAGGTGCGGATGATGTGGGCTCTGAATTCCGAAGGAAGTAGGAAATGCACTGACTAAGAATAATTTGGCAGTTGGCAAGGGCCCACGCTTCCCTGCATCCTAGTTTGGTTGCTCAGCAAGTGGTGCACAACCAATGCCAATCTTGGAGGAAAACCAGCAACCAATAAGCTGTGAGCAATTGCAGAATGTGCCTTAAGAATATAGAATGCCCATCAGAAGAGAAAAAAACACCTATTTTACATCCCACCCTCTGCACCCGTGACCAACTTTCCGGCTCTGGATCTCGCCGTTTTGAAGAGCTCCTTGTTTTCCTCCGCCAACTGTTGCGCCTGCAGGGACCCATCCGCAGTTGGAAAGGCAAGTCTGTAGATGTGAGTAGCACACGCACTCCAAGTAGAATTTTGCTCATCAAAGTTTCCTCTGGGATGTTCTGCAATCTGACAACTGATCTCTTTCAATCAGAGAGCAGCATCATTTGCTGCAGCAACAGCAGCAGCAGCAGCAGTAGCAGAAAGCTGCAAAAACGGTTCCCATCCCACCTTCTGGTGGCCTTCAACCAGCTCCACCTTCAGAGATGTGAATAACCAACCAATTATGTCCGAAAACAATTTTCCTTGAGTCTTCGTGGGTTTTACAAGATTTAACAATATTGATGGCAAAACCGGATCAAATCTTTCTTCAATATGCTCAACACTATGATCCTCCCCATAAATGTGATAATATAGAATTTTATATATGAATTTCATCGCCTCCAACGCGGAGTTTTTCCGCTGCAATCCAGCTGCTTGATTTTTTTGCTCCTGGACAGCTGCCAGAATTCGTTGTATGGAATGATTTGGTTCACTGGCATTGGTAAACAAAAAACACAAATATCGAACTGAAGCCCCAACCCTCAACCCTAGGCGCCACAATCCGCCCGATCCTCATAGCTCAATCGGAGGCCCCTCAACTCTTGCTCCAAAGTCTGAACCTCACGTTTGTTCCAGGCGTCATTACTTATCAACTGGAGGGTTCTGATATCTTCTGATTCTCGTTCTTGATCAACTCTTAAGATTCATATGTGTATATATATATATATGTAATTTGTATAGTTGTGTCATATATATATATTACTATAAATATAACTATATATATTGTGAATTTCGAACCTTTCGGTCACTGAGGAACCAGTCTTGACCCACTCAGGTGTGTTCACGTCCGAAGCCACGAGTGTGCGAGGCCGCAAGGGTGGTGTAGGGTGGGTCACCCGTGACCTGAGCCATAGAAGCAGTGAGGACACTGCAGGGCGAGGCGCCCGACCGTTCGTACCAACCTTCAGGTGCGCTGTGAGTGGAAAACGCACGCGGCTGTGCGAGGGAAGGAGGACCTTTTGTTGCTACCTTTGTGTCAATCACATTGGTAGCGGAGCTACCGCTAAAGCTCCAGACAACACCTGACCCTTGTGCTTGGTTGTTGTTGACTGCGTGGCTGAGTCGGTGAATACGTTGTTTGGCCGCAAGGCAGTCGACGGGTTGCACAGTGTCTTGGTGGCGTTGTCACAGAGTTGTTGAGCTGCGGTTTCCAGGGAGGAAACAGCCCAATGCCACCGGAAGGTGATTCAGCTGGCTCCAGTTCCCACAGGAGGTTTGAGCAATCTCCCATGGAGCCAGGTTCCATCTTTCAAGCCTGGTGAGACGGACCTCACTGAATGGTCACGGAAAGTAGAGTTCCTGGCATCACTATGGCCTCCAGAACAACTACACCTGCTTGCCCCACGAGTTGCATTGCAATGTGAGGGATGAGCTTTTCAGAGAGTTGCAAGACTGGACCCAAAGAAGCTGCGTGTTGGAAGTTTGGAGGGAGTGAAGGCCATTGTGGAGGCCCTTGGAGGGATTTGGGGAAAATCCCGATTGGAGGACAAGTTCGAAAGATTTGAGCGCGCAATATACAGCACGGTTCAAAGAGCCAACGAGACCCACTCGGAAGACAAGAAGAGACTGATTGTTGAATCGCAGGGTTCACTGGAGTACGGAGAGGTGGTATCCAATCTGAAGCTCCTGGGGAGTCGATTCTTCCATGAGGTCCACTCCAGCGGAAAGAAGAACAATCCAATGACCGAAACCTATGAGGCCAATGCATTCATTGCTCAAAAAGCTGAGGGTCATGACCAAGCACCCGCCGAGCCCACCTACAATTTTGATGATTGGACCGAGGAAGAATGGATTGAGAGTCTCGCCAATGACGGTGACGAGGACGCCGCCCTGATCATGGATTTGCCAGAGCTGACCGAAGAGACGCTCAACGCCACTCAAGAGAAGTCGAAGCAAGTTTTGTGTGGTTGTGAATCAAGGGACACCGGTGTTTTGAGGGTTTTGTGGGAGACCAATGAAGGGGAAATCATTGTTTTAGCCCACAAAGGGGAAATGGTCACCGAGTGCGAGAATTGTGATGTCCGGACTAGCTTGCCAGAAAGCGCGTTTGCTAGCGCCGCCCAATCACCTGAAGCCAAGTCAATGCATGACGCCGAAGCCAGTGCATTATCGAGCTTTTCAACTCGTGATGCCCTGGGAATCGTAGATACAGGTGCTACTAAGACCGTCATAGGAAGCGGTTTCGTAGCCAATCTCCTAGCCGCACTAAAGCCAGAGGTTCGGAAGCAGGTCCAAAGGTGTCGATGTTCAGTGGTTTTTCGGTTTGGTAATCAAGGGACACTTGAAAGCCAGCATGCACTCGTTGTCCCAATCGGACCGCTGAAGCTCAAGATTGCCATAGTGCCAGGCCGGACACCATTCCTGCTGTCGAATACCCTGCTCCGAGCCATCGGAGCCACCGTAGATATAGCTGGTGAAGTGATCAAAAGCACTCTCTTGAAGCGCAATATTCCAATTCAGCTGAACGCCAAGGGTTTGTTTTTAGTTGATCTAAATGATCTGATCACACCCACCAGTCAAGATGCCGAAGCTGAACCTGCCGAGACCTTCGCCACTTTGAATTGCAAAAGCTTGCCAAGTGTCTCTGCCCAGAAGCCTGGACAAGTGCAGTCGGAAACCAAGACCATGATGAAACAGAACGTTCAGGTGAGGACAGGTCTTGTAACAAGCAGAATCCAACAGTTCGAAGCCGCCATGCCCGAATCAACAAAGACCCATACGAACACAAAGAAACCAAACGAACGTCCGAGTGTTCGCGGGGGTGAGAAAGTCTCACTCGAATCGGTTCCAGGGGGGGTCCAGCCCGGTGTCATCCGTTTTGGGTTCAAGACCGGATCTGTGCAATCACACACGTGTGACCATCCCATTCGTTCACCTGCGCCGCATCACTATCGTGCCGACCTCCGAAGCAGCCGCTCTGAGTGCCCGCTTGGCACGTGTCATGGGGGAAGCAAAGAAGGAAGAAGCCCTCGATCAGCTCGAAGCCTTCAAGCTCCTATCACTGGACGAAATGGGCCAAGCCAAGATCGATTTCGGATCAGCCCATCTCGGTCGGACCTACTCGGAGATGTGGGAAAAGGAGGGCAAGTATGTGAAGTGGTTCCAGGCAAGTTACCACTCGTCGAACAAGGTCAACCATCAGAAGTTCATCCACTACATCTCACTGAGGGTGACCTATGCCGAGCACCAACTGGGTCTGAACAGTCAAGACCTGCAGCCATCACCAAGTCAGAGGCCACTTCATCCGGCTCTCAAGAGCAAGGCCAAGGCCAAGCCGATTCAGGAAGTGACCCCGCAGGACTTGGCAGATCTTGCCGAGGACGAATCCTGGGAACCAGTTCAGGAGATCGAGATCCAGCCAGAGATCTACACGGAGATGGCAGCCATGGACACCCGCCTTCAGACCATCGAAGGTGCGATGCAGGAGATCATTGCCCACCTCCGGGCTTCATGAGCTCGTCATGGCTAGACTCCTTCGAGGAAGCTGATATACATGTATCGTCCATGTGCCAAAAAGATGTCAGTCCAGGTAAGACCCACAGTCTGTCCCATAAATTCCATGCACTGGTTCAGCAAATCTCAAAGGAAGCCAGTCTAGCAAGGTGTGATCCAGTGATCTCGAACGGATGCAGCCGTCTACATTTGCTGGAAGTGTTTTGTCATGAGGCCAGTGAACTGACAAAGCAAGTCCAATTGCTGGGCGGCAGAGCCAACCGTTTTGGAAGGGCGCAGGGGGACCTCAAAACCAAGGAGGGGAGAAGTGTTCTGTTTCAAATGGTGTGGAAACAAAGACCCCGTCACATATGGTTCAGTCCCACCTGTGGACCATGGAGCGCATGGAACACGTTCAATGAAATGAGATCAATCCAATTGTGTGAACATGTTCAACGAGAGAGAGAGAGAGTCACACTTGTTCGAACTTGCACTAGGAGTAGTCTTGCTTCGCATGTCACGTCAGCTAGGAAACCACATGCACTGGGAGCAGCCACGAAAATCCATCATGCCCACTCCTGCAAGAGCTGTATTCATATACTCAGGAAGCCAATTTCGACATGTGTCGCGTAGGCCAGTTGACATGTCCAGAAACGAACAAACTCATACAAAAGGAGATGGCTGTAAGAACGACATCGCAAGAGATGTATGCCTCGTTGCATGGCCAGGTGTGTCGTCGAGATCATGAGCACAGACCCATTGCCGGATCCGTGACAACGCCTCTCGGGAGAATCACCGTCAGTAGCTATACAGAGAACTATCCAAGAAAGTTTGCAAGACAAGTAGCTAAGGTGATGTTGAAAGTGAAACATGAGCCATGGGTTACTGCCCTTGTAACCAGAGGAATAGATCAACCGAGTGAGGAAAGTGCATCCAAGCGGATCCGTGTGAGTTCTCCCATGCAGAAGTCCCAAGGTGGGCGACTGCCACCAACACCCCTGGAGCAATTGTCGAACGAGTGCAAGCGCCGCCGCATTGACGGCAAGACGGCCGAATCGCAGAGTATGAACATGTCACCTCAGAGACAACTAGAAGAAATCATCAAGGACATCCAACCAATGTTGCCAAGAGTAGGGAAGACATTTATCACAAACCACCAAATCTTGGAGAGGCTTCAAAACATGTTCCCCGAAAAAGAAATCAAGAAAGTTCAAGCATGTAAGGGATCAGATCGAACATTGCCACCGCCAAGGGATTTGGTAAAGAATGAGGCCCCATATCGTCGTGCCATCATCGTAAGCCGAATAGGGGGGGTAATCCAAGTAGAAAAGGACTGGGAATACTGGCAAGACCTGTCTCATCGGCAGCAAGTCCGCCCAGCACATCCCGCAAGAGTCAATATCACAATGTATGCATGTTTGCCCCAATCCAAGTCAGAAGCATCAGGTGATTCGACCGAACAGAATATGAGTCCCGAGGCAACGGGAACAAGCATCGAGCCGCAGGAGGCAACCGTCAGCCTGCCAAGTAGTGGCCAAGCACCTGTCACAGAGCTGGATCCGGATCAGACCAAAGAGACAGGAGCGAGTTCGAGTCAACTCCATATGCCGAGTTTTGACCATGGCCCAAAGTTCAAGACCATATCAGCCGAAGAAAAATCGTTCTTGCGGAAATTGCATCAGAACCTAGGACACCCTCATGGTCAAAAGCTGTGTTCAATGCTGCGTCAACAGGGGTACTCACCCCGATTGTGTCAAGCTGCCATGGACCTAAGTTGTTCCGTATGTCACAATACTAAGGAACCCAAACATCAAAGACCTTCTACAATCAAACGTGAGCTAGACTTCAACGACTGTATTGGGATAGATGGTGTTGTATACACGAATCTGGCAGGAACCAACTTCCACTTCTATCACATCATCGACTATGGAACAAACTACCAGGTAGCATGTGCCAGCCCAGGTAAAAGCAGTGATGATGCAATAGACAAGGTGCTCAATGGATGGCTCCAATGGGCAGGGGCTCCGATTGAGATTCACACAGACTCAGGGACGGAATTCACATCCAAGGATTTTGTCACTTTTC